AATAAAATTGAAATTTATTAGATAATTATTAATTAAAAAATATGACCACAAACTAAAAAATTAAAATGGATAAATTTGTCAATAAAATTAAAAAATTTTAATCTGTTAGCGGTTTGACACAAAAAACTACACAAACTAACTTTTTCAACCCGCTAGCGATTTAGATCCTAACCGCTATTCGTTAGTCTCAAACCGCTAAATAAAAATTTTAACAAACATTTTAGTTGTAGCGGTTTCGAAATATATAAATTTACCAAACACCTATATTTAACGGTTTAGATAAAATCGCTAACCGCTACCCCAAAACCGCTATACCAAATGGGGTCTAAACGGGACAGTTGTTTTATAAACCTATTAAAATATTTTTAATAAAATTTTGATAAAAAATAAAAATATTTTAATAAATTTATAAGATAAATTATATTTTTAATATATAACATATGAATCTGCTTTTTTTTTTTATAGGAAATGAAGAAATTATAAATAATAAAAAAGTACAAAAAAAACTCCATAACAGGCATGTAGCCTAAAGCATTATAACCAAAAGACAAATTAAAAGAATAACTTACGACACTAGTAACAGATTTAAACTATGCTTATGATGAATATAGACAATTAAGTAAAAAGAGTCATCTACAATTAGGGATTACAATTGCAATAACTGCTGTATAGGCTAAATAAGGTTACAAATGTAGAAAGGAGAGTTTGACTGAGCATCAAAAGCTACTGGACATCCTCACCAATTTAACCAACTTCATGGGGAGAGCAAGGGATTCTAACAACAAACAGTCCCCAACTTGCAGGTTGCCACCCTATTAAAGGAACTAGAGCCCTTTTGCTGGCTTGAATATCATGCCTCCCGTACAGACCGAAATCGTCGACACCCACGACATCCCTTTTCGTCCATATTCGACTATCTACTCTGAAATTAGAATGAACTAGCGTTGTTGCTGAATTCGACTCTCACCGAGAGCCCATTCGAGAAGATGAGCCAAAAACAAGGTTCCTACTCGTTAAACCAAATCCACCAACAAGATACCCTAGTTACAGCCTTCAAAAATTAACCACAGATGTAGATCTGAATATGTCGTTGTCTTGTGGTCCCTTGGGTTGAAGTTTTCAGAGCAAGATAGTCGACGAAGGTGAAGGATAGATCAAAGAGGAAGGTAAGGGTAAGAAGAAAGCAGAAAAAAAGAAACTCCTCTGCCGAAGAAAAACCCTAAAGAAGAAAACCAATCGCCTCTGCTCTCAACCCTGAGCAGAGCATGGGAGAAACCTAGAGGGAGAAACCCTATATACTATAAAATTTGAATCATGAATATGCTTTTAATGTCCATAAAATATGTGATTCCAAAGGGAAGAAATCGTTCACAAAGTAACAATAGATCGAGCAATCGTGGGGTTGTTTGTTAAAGTTTCCTGGCATCTTTAGAAGAACATAGAATGGCAAAAGCACAACTTGTTGATTTAAGTAGAATTTATTTATTTTTTAAATAAGGTTGTGAATTTGAATATTGTGAATGAAAAAACAAATATTAAAAAAACTTTCTTTTTATGAGATCTAATACAAATCGATTCTAAATTAATTTGAATATAATATAATTATCGAATATCAAAAATCTAATATCAATATATATATATTTATATATAAACCGCCAAAATGACGTACAGGGTTGTTATATTGGGTCAACTTAGCCCATTAAAGCTTTTTCGCGATTAAAACTTTTTCGGAAGCATCATTAATGGTAGTATAGATAGATTGGCACCTGGACCTTGCGGACTAGTGGTAATAGCCACCTGGTGCATTCCCCCCTCCCCTGGGCTGGGTTCAAAACCCGTCCCTTGCAAATATGTTCAAAAAAAAAATGGTAGTATAGATAGATTGAAAGAAACTTTTCTTTGAGTAATTTTTTAATTTTCTTTAAATTATTATCTCTTTTTATTATTATTCTATTATAATATGAGAGTGATTTTTCATCTCTTAACATTTTAATTATGTTTTAAGATTATATATCATATAATTAAAATTTTATTTCAATGAA